TGTGTGTGTGTGTGTGTAAGTATGTATGTATGTGTGTGTATATGTGTATGTTTGTAGGTGTATGTGCCTGATTGGGTGTATAGGTGTGTGTGTTTTGTGTATATTAATTAACGAGGTTATAATTATTGTACGTAGGTGTGGATGTGTACATGTGTGTGTATATGTTTATATATGTGTGTATGGGTATACATACATATGTTTATGTTTGGTTGCTGGGTGTTTGTTCTGTTCATTTGCTGATGGTCAGATGTCGGGTGTGTTGTCTTGTGTGTTATTGGTGTACATTTCACATGTATAATTTCTATCGGTTTCTCTTTACAGTTCCTATATTTCTCTTCTACTTTTATTTTTCTTCTTTACTATAGTATATATATGTAAAAAAAAAGAAATGATTGGGAGACATGTCCATCACAGAGAGGTTACTCCAGGCAGACCTAAACCAGGCTCAGGACAGGCGGCCATCTGCCTCGACCGGCTGGGTTGGAGGACAGGAAAGAGACGCTGTCAAACACAGAAAARCTGGTCCAGGTGTATTTTCCTCTGGAAGAGAGACAAAAAACATGTTGTTGATAGAAATTATAACAATAAACATGTAGAGAAGAGAGACTAAAGACAACAGCAGAGTGAAGAAATGTGCTCAGTTTGTGCTCCAGCAGTCTAAGCCTATAGCAGCAGAAATGAAGAATAACTCAGGAAACTTAGTGATAGTAAAAGTGAGTGTGTTGATAGTATATGTGAGAGAGTTTTATAGTGGAAGGTGAAAGCAGTGTTTTAGTTCGGCCAGCGGATGAACTGCATGTAGATGACTCTACAACAACTATTATAGGGATGTAACGATTGAGTTTGCTGAAGTTGATCCCAGAGTTTCACATGTGGCTCAATCTGGAGGACTATTTTGTTTTTCAGTCAAGGGATAAGGACTATGAAAACACCCTTTACTTTCAGTGTGTTATATGCCAGCACAAGAAGACCACTATCAATGGACAGGTGAGGTGTCTGCACAATTTAAAATCCCATATCACATATCAAGAAGTAACACCTGGGCCAGACCAGCCAGTTTGAGGAGAGGATGAAATCTTTTTTTTCCTAACCCTGACCATTTACCCTAATCTAAACTTAATTTGAGAGAACTGGTGAGATTACTTAAAGCACAACAGAGCTTCAAACAAAGTGAGGACATTGAAGAGGTCCTCACTTTACATCAAAGACCTCAGTTTGATAGTAACGTAGATGGTGCAAATGGTCTCACTCTGTGGTAAAATCTAGTACACGCACACACGCACGCACGCACGCACGCACGCACGCACGCACGCACGCAC